ATGAATTTTTGCAATGTAAAAAATAAGTTTTATTCGAAATTTTCTGGTGTGGATACAATTTTAAGTTGTCATATATACTTAAAAAAATCATTTGGTTATACGGATGGAAATTCGATTTTTTTTTTTTTTAAAAAAAAATATATATATATATTATCGAATATTAAATTAATGTTTAAAAAATTTTTTTTTTCATAAATTTTGGATCATAAGAATTAAATCTTTCTCTTTTAATTGCTAAAGGTTAACGTTCCGAAGACCAGAAATACCTATTGTAAGGGTAAAAATTGTAAAAAGCATACTCTTCACAAAGTCTCACAATATAAGAAGGGTAAAGATTCATTATACGCTCAAGGTATGTTTAAATTCTGTTTTATTAGTTATTATATTTTGTAAATTATGCTCTATATCTTTTTTTTTTAAAAAAAAAATAGGAAAAAGACGTTATGATCGTAAACAATCTGGTTATGGTGGTCAGACCAAACCGGTCTTTCACAAAAAAGGTAATGAAAAAGTTATTAAATTAGTCTCTTCTGCATTATATTAATAATATGGTTTAATGTATATTTTAGCCAAGACTACAAAGAAAATCGTCCTTCGTTTAGAATGCCAGAGTTGTAAGGTATAATGTCATCTTTTATTATTTGCTTATTTTTAAACAAATTATTATTTGATGATCTAACTAAATTTTTTATTCTCAAAGTATAAACATCAAGTGGCGATTAAACGATGTAAACATTTCGAACTTGGTGGTGACAAAAAGGTAAATATTATGAAGTTTATCTATAATGGATTTATTTTTTTCTATTCGACTAAAAAATTTTTTTCTTTAGACCAAAGGTGCTGCTCTTGTTTTTTAAACAATTTTATTTTATTTTTTTACCATAAATGCTCGATGTCGGGTTAATACATGATTTGCAACAAGTAATATTTTGCTTGTAATTAAACCAAAAAAAAAAAAGTTTTGTAAAAATTTTTAATGAAGCCCAAGTCAAATATTATTATAATTAGAATGTAGAACATAAAAGTATTATTATTATTATTCATTACTTAAATCTTGGTTAATCTAAAGATATTAATGTAGAATGATAGACAAATTCGAGACTTCTTAATTGTCCCAACCTGATTGCAAATGCTGTCCATCCACAGAAAATGTATCTTCATGAGACCATTTTCCATCTTCATAATCATTGTTCCCGTAATCGTAATGCCACTCATTATTATTAGTATCATCAGCATTCCAATCAGATTCCATTTCATATGGATCGTTTGTGTGCCAATCGTATTCATCCTCCTCTTTCTTTGGTGAATCAATTTTATAATCAACATGTGCAAGTACCTCATCTGAATTTAATAGTGTGAAATCTGTGCTTGAATCAAGTATTTTTAACAAATTGTTTCTAGTTTTGCAAAGCTGTCTAATTCG